AAATTTTTTTACGTAATCCATATACATTGGTTACAAGCAAAAAAAACTGTAAAAACCCTTAAATCAAAGATTTTCGTATCAATTGTACCACGTCCCTTTAAATAAAAAAATGTTTTAATTGTAGAGGGACAGTTATATTCTCAAAAACACTGTTGTGGCCGTGGTAGCCAAGAAGTTATGGTAGCGAACTCGTGGCTAGGGTGTCATGAATTTGAGACATAGTGTCACTAAAAACCCGCCATGTAGAGGAGCTCTGATGCACTTTAAATCTGTTGAGGCTCAAAGTCTTTCCGATAACGTGGTGTTATAGTTTGAAAAATGGAGTGCAGCTCAGATATCGCGTTGTCACTTGACCTGGCTCAAAATTACGATATACATCTCCAATAGCCTTCGAATTGCTTTATAGTGCGAGGCTAATAAACATTCACCTGCGGATTCGCAGAGCCTTTTTAGGAGATCCACGAAAGTCTCTCACCTAGGGTTAGCGATCTGAGATCAATTAATTGAATAATAGACTTCTCGGGCAAAAAAAAATCGATTTTTTAAATCAATATGTAGCACTGAATCGATTCAGTGAATCGATTTTTCCTCGTAGAAAATCGACATTCGATTTTTTCTGTTTTGGTAAAAAACCATAAAATTATTTACAATTAGTTGAATGTACTACCTTTAAAACCCGTAATATTACGGTGTTGGAGGTTAAGGGGTTAATTTACTGGCAAGAACAAAAAAATTCTATTTATCATGACGTTCACTCAATAGCCATGATGTGTATGAGTATCTTGGGATCATCTGTTCCTTGTGAGCGCCTTTTTTCGATTGCCGGTAACATCGCAAATGATGAGCGAAACCGCTTGGATCCCAGTAGCCTTGGCAGACTGTTGTTTTTCAAAAGCTGTGATATCAAGCATTGGGAACAATAAGCTATATTATATATTTCCTAAACTTTTTAATGTAACAAATACATTTAGAAAATAAATGTTTTCTTTTATACTTTGTGCTTTGATATGGTAATAAAAATAATTGTAATTGTCGAATTCCCTGAACTAAAAAATTCCCTGATTTTACTGATTAGAGATGTTTATTAGGATATCTTTCTTGTTTTTCATAAAAAAGATTTATATTTAGATTGTAAATCCAGACTTGAAAAAAAAAATCAGTTTTTTAGAAATCGATCTTTTAGACCTCCATTTTTTTTTATTTTTTTTTTTTTTGTGAATCCATTCATTAGGTTGCTATTCGAAGCTATTTAAAAATCGGTCTTTTTCGGAAAGAATCACCATCCCTACTGTCATCCAGTGTTAAGATTTTCTTATTTTACAAACTTTGAAAAACCTCGTATAAAAATTGAAAAATGTACTAGACAAGATCACGAAATTGTTCCCAATAAAAATATTTCCTAGAACACGTTTTTCGATCAAGAATATGAATTAAGTTTTTTTATTGTTTGCAACTACAGGCCCATTACTACAACGTAATATTTTCAGCAAATATATAGTAGAAACACATGCGCAAAGATTAAAAGCTGAACTCACCTAGCGCGCCAATGGGGTAACGATTGCATCCATCAAGATTTCATAATCGAATGATACCTGTATTATTTATGTGCGCTTATATTATTTATTTATTTAAAATTTGTATTTTGCTATATTTTTATGTACATATATAATTAGATGTTTACTGCTTTCTTAAGGGAAAAAAAGAATTTAAAAAGTCTGTAAAAATAGCAGAGGCAGTCTTTGGACTATATTGAGGAACATCCCTCCCTGACATGGGTAAGAGACTTTACTCTTACCCATGTCAGGGAGGGATGTTCAAAATTGTGAGGGTCCGCGATGTCAGACTGATACATACAGGGAGGGGGGGGGGGGG